TGCGTAACGGTTGTTCGATTCTGTCTTAACAGACGGTAATGTGACACAGTAATTACCTAGATTGCGCCCAGGACAGACATGAGATGTGAGGTGACACGTGAATTCGTAAACCTCAAATGGTTTGAGTGCGAAATTATGTCAGACGGCAAATGTTATTTCTATGTTTTTATCTCTGCGACATATGCCTGAGATAACAAATAGAAAACATTTTTCCTGGCTACTTTTCATGCACTAATAGTTGATCAGAATTTATGGGGCCACCGCTCTGGGTGGAAACACCCACCCACCCACGTTTTGCATTGTACCCAGCGGAGCCGCGTTGCCAACCTTGGTAAATATGCTGTGCTGGCTCTGCTGCGCTGTCGCAGCTATTGTTGCCGCTCGGTGTTGCTCTCGGCGTTGCCAACTTGGCTATTTTCTGGACAATTCTGGTTATTTTCAAAGGTCGGTCGGTTGCCTATTGCGGGATACCGCATTACTAACTATTAAACTTGAAACTAATATGCTCATATATGCTTCTACAGTATCGAAATTTTCCTCTCGGCATGCATCCCCAAGACATTGTCATATTATGATTGATCTCTGCAAGTAGTTTTCTTAATTTAGGGCAACTGTGCACAGAATTAATCATTAGTTGATGAAAAGTCAGCTTGACTTATTTTATAAACCAATTCTTAGTTAAAGTCAGACATTACACTCTGTGCTGCTCCGCTGACTAGCTCGCTTCGCAACGGTCTCTGGCTTGCTTTCAGCCGAGCTTGGGCCCTAGCTTCGGCTTTGGCTTTGTCAAGTTCGACCCTGGGGGCATGGCTCATAAATTTCCCGCTGCTATTGCAATATGAAATATATGCAACATAATTGAATTGCGTCTGTGTAGGAGGAGCGCGTGCCTCTGTGTGTGCGGCGTACAGTTAATTTTTAATTTATGCTCATAAATAATCAAGCCATTTTCATTAGACGCACACACACAGGTCGAGAAGAAAATGAAAAGAAAAACCGACAGACACCCAACAAAAATGCAAGCTCATGCAAATTGTAAAGAAATGGGAAAGTATTTTATATTTCATAGTTTTATAGAGATTTCTTCATGTCATTTTGTGTGTCCAACGGAGCACTCATGACTTTTTATATTCACTCTTCCCTTATTTCGTTTTTTAAAGCTTTCAAGCTGCAACAAAATGGCAAAAAAAGAAACTAATAAAAGAATCTCTGGCTGAACAAGTATCCTTCACCATTCTTTTATGAGGCGAAACATTTTTTGATGCAAAAATATGAGCAAAAATATGTAGCACTAAGATATTTGTTCGCTTATGTTTTAAACTTTTTTTTATACATTTTCAAGATAACAAAAAGAATTTCTTGCTACCTCCGGCTCAGAAATATTTCTAGCCTCTTTATGCGCCAAAAATAGAAATAAGAAAATGCCTCAATTGCGGATAGATTTGGTTTCTTTCTTTTTTGTTTAATGTGGGGTAACGGGTGTAGGTCTTTCGGGGTGTTAAATGCCGCGTAATCATTTTCGGAAGCTCGTAAAAGCGCAACGAGAACAAAAACAAGAAAAAGGCGAGAAAAAATCGTGATAAAAGAAGAAAAGCGAGCGGGGGAGGGAGTCAAGAGTAGTGGAGTGCGAAAGCTGTGCAAATATATATATAGTTAGCTACGTCAGCTGGGCTTTAAGGCCGCTGTGTGTATTGGTCTGTATCTGTGTGACATTCGAAGCAGCAGCTCCAAAGAGAGAAAAAAAAAGCAAGAGAAATAAGGCCAATGATGCTTGTAATTGTAGCTCCAGTTGGCTCCCATACTCTTGTTGGTTTTGCAACCGCTGTTTTTTTTATTTTGTCAGCTAGCAGCTTGGCTCTGTTTTTGGCCGTGGCGGCCAATTGCACTTTCAAGGCTGCATCTACTCTGGCTCGAAGGCTCACTCCATCTGCTCTCCATCCATCGCCCCCACATGCGCAAACAAGTCTTAAAAACTCATTAACGTTTTATGATGTGAAAAGAGAAGCCGCCGGCTAAGCACTGGCCACTGTCACCGCTGTCAGTCTCGAACACGTAAAGAAATATTGGATTGATTTTAAGATCGATTGAATGGCTTAACTATGAATTTAAGACCATTGGAAAATATCCAAGGAAGTCTGGGTAAGACGAGTATAAGCCTTTCCAAACTCTAAAGAAATATACAATTCTGTAAAAATCAAACTCTAAATGATTTTGAAAATATTTCCGAGAACTTCTAAAAAAAAACTTTCTTGCAGTTTCCTGCTTTTGCACAAAATTAAGGCAAATTCCATGGAAAATTAAATAATGAATGATTAAACCATCTCTAAAAAATGGTTAAAATTTTTCCTCGTGCAATTACCCAGCGACTTGTGTTGACTGCCCCCGTTGCACACTTGCCGCACTCAATCAAGCCTGAAAACCCGGCTAGGATAGGACATGAGGGGGTGGCGGCCGGCAGCTGCTTGGGGACCAAAATCCCGGGATGAGTTGTCTTCATTTTGCCATGAGTGGCAGGCAGGCAGCCGACAACTGCAACAGGCCACCCATAAAAGATGACAACGGACAGCAAACTTTTTTTGGTCGAAAGAGTGGCTGTACGAGTAAAATAAGGAATTTAAAAGTGACCTAATGGACTCTGGCATACCCTAAAGGGGATTATGAGACAAGTCCAAAGAGGTTTTAACTAAAATAATAGGAGTAAAAACGTTAGATGTGGTTGCTTTGATAGAAGAAATGTGAAAATAAGCCTGAAATACAATGGCAACAGTGCTATTTCCACATTCAGGCACCAAATATTTCAAAACTAGTTTCCTACAAGTTTTAAACAATAATTAATATAAGAATTCAAAATCAAACTTCATGCCAATTTCTTTTACCAAAAAAAAAACCTTAACCCAAAAACCGCCTCAATTAACAACTTCCCTACTTCGATTCGTGTTTAACCCAAATATAGGTTACCTATAAATAAATCTTAAACACCGGCATTCCATCACAGACTCATGCGATAAAGAAAAACTCGATCATGAACAGGAAACCGTGTTTTTAAGAGACCACATTTTGTCATCTCATCCGTTGTGGCCAACTTTATCGTTACTTTCTTGCCACTAAAGAACCTAACAAAAAAAACCACAGTGACATTGCTATAAAACCCCCGGCTACATCCTAGACAATTACGATAGAGTAAAACCAGCTTTACTACGGGGAAATCTTCACTCGCACCGCACAGCATCGCACTTGCTCTTCTTCTGCTGGTGCTGTTGCCATTTCCAGCTATAACTGTACCTGCAGGTGTGTGTCAGTTGTTGTAGTTTTAGTGTTTGCTCCGGGGAATTTACGGAGCGTTGATGGCTTTCTCCTCTAAGACTCAATTTTATCGAGAGAGGGATAGGGGTAGAGGGGAAAGGAGAAATGGATAACATTGCTACACTGCTCCAAGGCGGGAGATGAGGGGCGGCGGAGCAAGCAGATGATCTCTCGCCCATTAAAAGTGGCCAGCAAAAAAAGTTTTCGTTTATTGGTGGCATGGGCCAGTTTTATAGCTTCATTTGCACACACAACAACTGGCACTGCAGAGGCCGAGGTCAGGTCGGCATTAGGCTGGAAAGAAGGTGCAGGTGGGGTATTAGGTAGTAACTGGCCGAACAGTGGGCGTGGCAAGTGCAAGGCGATCGCTATTTCTCAGGCGGAACGGTAGCTGGAAAACCTTCAGCAGCTGCTGATTAATTAAAAGCTTTGAATTTTAAGTCAAACTGTGTTGAATTTTTGAAGATTTTAAGTTAAATTATATTCAAGAAATAGTAATAATATTACAATTCTCAATTGTATTTTTATGAAAAAAAAATTTTTTTTTGAGTAATATAATAGACTCTTTAAGATATGATAAATATAACTTTCATAGAAGTTAGATATAAATATTCTAAGAATTATATTTCGAGTTCTTATCTTTATGTTATTTTTCCTGTCTTTTTTTAAACCAAAATATATGTAGTAGGCTTATTGTCTTATCCATTAAGTACCTTGAGTCTGGACTTCGGTTAACCGTGCTATCTAGTAATTATGTGGCACTCGCTAGTGAGTAATGCCGACAAAACTCAAAAATTATATTTTGTATAATCATTGAAATTTTCAGACAGTGGCGGCCGTACGCTTCCGAGAAATCTTTCCCACAATCAGTGCTTCAGCTTTTTTTGTTGCCTCTTCCGAACGAAAGTCACGACCCAAGAGCGAGCATTATTTTTCTCCCCGAGCCGATGGTCACCACTATCATCACAGTACGTCCAATAAGTACGTGGCCCATTGTCATTAGCCGTGGGCACTAATTGCAGGTACTACTCACCCATGAATAGCACTCTGACCTTAATGCATTTGGCTACACAGGGCGGCTGATAAGAAAAATTAGAAAAAATGCATTTGAAATGCCCGATAGCAAATAACGGGCGGAAAAGGCGGAAGAAAATGAGCGAAATCGGCTAAACCGAGTTAAAAGCAATGAAAATTGCCCATTAATGTGCTTGTGTCTTATCTGCTGGGTTTTTTATTTGAGAAGAATAATCAGTGTTTCCAGAATTTCCTAGAATTTTTGTTTTTGAAATTTTTAAAATTTTAAGTAGGAATATAAACTAGAATCATTATTTTGTTTAAAGAATGTGAGGTTTAATTGCTATTTTTGTAAGCAAGACCGAATTTATGACTAGGAATTCCTATTAATGTCTATTTTAAGTTTTACCAGCAAAATATTATTAATTAATATTAAAAATGTGCCTACTCATACACAAATCTCTTCTTAACAACACAAAAGGAGAAGAATTGCAGCAGCCAAGAACAAGAATGAGATGAATCTTCCAACCGGAGATTCAACGGATATTTGCACGAACCGGTTTAATTGGCTCGACCTCCAATCAGAATCAAGTTCACGAACGCAACTGGAATTACTTGCGCCAGCTTAAGACCCAATAAGTAAATGAGTGTACGAAAAATGTTCGGAAAAGTGGAAAACCTACCTTGTGTGGCGAAAAACCTTTTGGGAGCTGCTGCGAGTTGCTGCTGCTGCGGGAGATAAAGAGAAAACAAAAAAATCGTTGAGGATGAGCAGCAGCAGGATTAACGCGAGTCTCTGTGTGTGTGTATGTGGCGAATTAAAGTGACCAACAAAAACAATCACACATACACGGATGAACGCTAACTAACGCACACAGGCACGCAGAGAGCGAAAGAGAGAGGGGATATTCGAAAATTGAACACGTTTACCGCGATTCCGGCGGGGGTTGTGGGGTGTGCCGTGCCCGTGCCCGACCCGTACCGCCCCTAGAATGTGGGCGACCCGGTTTATTTACACGTCGCACGCCCGGATTTACTTATACTTATTATTATGGACCGCGCCTGCTGCACTTTCTACTACAACTACAGCTCTCTGTTGCGTACGCGCGTGTATGTATGTGTGTGCGTTTGCGTATCAAGTGCACACGTATGCAGCCGGGTCTGTGTGCGTATTTGTTTGATTTGTTAAATAATTTTCTTTTGTTGTCAGCCGAATACTTCAAGCGATTCTCATTGCCCGTTTACTCACACTTGCACTTGCACCAGCACTGAATATTCCTTAATGAATAATTTAGTCATGCGCGACGCGACATTCCTCGGCTGAAAAAAATTATTTTGTTGACGAGTGGTCGCAGTGTGTTGCCGAATGAAAGTTGGCTTTCCCCTAAAAGTCCCAGAAAAACGCGTGCAATTCCGCTTTCGCGGCTTCTGGGCACACTAAAACGCAAAAAAGCTACATTTAGCCATAAATAGTTAAAATTTTGCTACATTTCCAGCTATATAGCTAGATTTTAAGCTAGTTCGCTAATTTTTTAGCGAATTCGCCAGGTTTTAGCTGTATAGCTGGGAATCTAGCTATATAGCTAGGCAGGCAGCTCTAATGCCCGCGCGGATTTGAAAAGTAAGTTTATTTTAACGGTAAGATAATTTAAAATTATGAAGAAAACAAAAAATATAACATAATAATTTTCAATGAAGTTACAAGTTATTCGGTAGCATGTTATTTTGACGGTTAATAAAATTATTAAGCAAATTTTTAAATGACTATACATACCATTTCGAGGTAATTATAAACAAGTTTATACTATAAAAAAGACTCAAATTATTATTTTACGTTTATTATTCATATTTCGTTTTGTTCATATAGGCAACTCTTACGACTAGGTTAACTAGACAATAATTACACGTAAACAAATGTTTGTATATCCGAATACATAAACAGTATAAAAACTATGATTCGCTATGCTTAGAGGCTGCAGCAGCTGTTGGTCCGTTGCATTTGTTAAAGTATCACACGCCGATTTAAAGAAAAGGGGGTAGGGTTTATTTGCAACTAAGCGATGTATAAGTAACATAAAATCACATTCGATTCAAATTAAGCCCAATACTAAAAGCACCCGCACTAGTTCGTCCCGCGATCAGTTAGTATTGATCTTCCGCTTTAGTGTAAAGTATGCCAGCATTTTAAAAAGCGCGATTTGGGCCAGGATCATCAGGATGTTATAGCCAAAGTCCCCCTGCTCCATACCAAACTGACGCAGCACGGTGACAGCGTTCCTGTAAAGTTATATGATTTGTAATATTATTTTCTTAAAATTATTGTTCATAGGAAACTCACTTAAAGTGGCAGTAGAACTCCGTGGGTGGACAGATCAACTGTTCCCGCTGGTTGCCATATAGAGATATTACCATATTCTCCAATGCATAACGCAGCGGTGATATATAGGCAATAAACCGCATGGCTGCTGGAATGTGGTTGAGCAGGATGAGGAAGCCGGAGAATGTCAGCATGAAACATGTCGAAACCGCACCCACAAATGTTCCATTCTGAAAAAGAAGAACATGGTTAATATTTGCATCTAAAAATTGGAGTTCTAGAGATAAGTTCTTACCACAGGATTCAGTACAGTGCCAAGGAATACACCCAAACCATCTGCACAAATAGTGACCACAACGGCACTCAGCAGATACTTTACAAATCGGTCCATTTCAACGGGCTGTTCGGTCATCCAATATCCAATCGTTATGTACACCGAGGAGAAGATAATCTTGAAATATATAAATTATAATTATATATTATTAAGCTTTTATTATTTTCAAATGTTTACACTTACATGAACAGGAGTGGAGGTGATAATAGTGGCAAGGTAATAGGTTCGAAGTTTGTACCAGTTGTTAAATGTTTCCTTCCTAATGATTTCTATCTCGGCAGGATCTGCAATCATTAAACCATAAATACTGATCTATAAGAATATAAAAACCTATTTGCATACATTTCAAAATGCCAGGCATTATAGTGGTGTACCAGAGATAGACGCAGTGAATCATAATCATGCCCACATTGGAAATTTGTTTGGTGGCATTGCTACCCGAATCGCCGAAAAACAAACCAATTAGTATAGCGCAGAGTATGTGAATGCCAAGCTTTAAATAGGTGAGTGTCTAAAAGAGGTAGGAATAATTTATAAATATTATTTACTATAATTATTATTTACTTATTTAGTTTATAACTCACCCAATCCCTGAAGAACTGCAGGTGACAGCGACCGATGAGCAGCCAGAGCCGCATATATTCCGTGGGCGGAAAGGTGTGCCTCGTCAGGTCTTTCGACGATTCCATGTGCTGGATCTCGATCTTGTGGACCTGCGGCTGGGTCTGCCCCGGTGATTGGGATTCATTGAACTTGGCCACCTGAGACTCGCTGGGCGGTTCCCCAGTCTCGCCCTGCATCAGTTGCTGATCGTATCGCCAGCGAGTGTCCTTGGCGCATTCGGCCAGAGCCTCTGTGTGATCATCGTAGTCCCCATTCACGCATTCAAGCACTGAAATAATTAACACCTTTTTAATGAGCGTCCTTAACCCTTTGTTAGCTATTTCTCAGAATTGTATCTGGTCGATATTTACTGATGGTTACAAAGTGATATTAAGAGTGAATTTATTGATGGCAAATGAAGGCCTAGAAGTGGTTTTGCTGAATTCTTTTGACAAAACTACAAATTGTAGAACAATATAAGAATTATGTCTAAAAAGTTGGCTTATAAATTATATATTATCAAAGAAATTTTAATAAAATATAATTTATTAATCATTGCAAATATAATCAATGTAATAAAACCTCCCAAATTGACGGAAACTCAATCCAAGCTATAAGAAAATAAATGTGATAAATAAGCTGTTACAGCTAGCACAGAAGTGATTGTAATAAGTGCAGCCTGATGAGTTAATTAAGTTAAGTAATTATCTGATATGCTGCCTTGTCTCCATAATCATGTTCAAAAAAAGGGAAAGGGAGGCGTCGCGTCGTGACGCTCTACTCACGGAAGTCGGCGGGATTGTGGTATGGGGGACACTCCAGGCCGACGCTGCTCAGGAACATGACCGTATTCTGGGGCGTGCCCTGGTAGGTGCACTGACCCGCGCTCAGCACGTAGATCAGGTTAAAGAGATTGTAGATATTCGTCGACGGCTGGTGGATCGTGCACACAATGGTGCGCCCCTCGTTGGCCAGGCCGCGCAGCAGCTGGATGGTGTCGAAGGAGGAGGAGCTGTCCAGGCCGCTGTGGGAGAATGGAGATCAGAGATCAGGTTCAAGGTCGGGTTCTGTCAACTGGTTCTGCACCGAGGATGGGGCACCTCTCACTCACGTTGTGGGCTCGTCTAAAAATAGCACTGCTGGATTGTCTATCAGCTCCAGGGCAATGGACAGACGCTTCTTCTGCCCGCCACTCAGGTTGGAGCATCTCGTGTGTCGCGTCTTTGTCAGCTTCAGCGAGTTGAGCAAGTAGTCGATCTGTAAAACCAAGTCAATTAGTGGGTTTCTTTTATTTTATAATTTAAGGCCAACTCACCAGGGTTCGCTTTTCCTTCAGGCTGACACATTTGTTGGAGATTTTAAGTGTTGCCGCCATCAGCATGGTCTCCTCCACAGTAAAGTAGGGGAAAAAATGATCGTCCTGCATAATGTAACCGCATAACTTCCTGGCCTTGCCGATCTCTATCTTGCCGCTGACTCCGCTCTTTGTCATACCCGTGAGGATGTTCATTAGACTAGATTTACCGGCCCCCGAGGGGCCCATAATGGCGGTTAATTCGCCGGACTTGAAGGTACCAGCAATTCCCTTGAGAACTGACTTCTTTTCTGTAAGTATGGAAGTAAAATGGATTAATTATTCAATAATACCAAAGCAAAAGTCATGTTATGGTTGCTAGAACCTAATTTGATCAAGTGACTTTCTTGTATATAGAAGAGATTTAATGAAAGTTATTGCTAAATGAACATCAATTTATATTACCAAATAAGACAAATTTAATGAAACCAGTTATCTGACATTACTGTATAAACCCAAAAAAAATCTAAAATAAAGTCTTAGTTAGAATGCTTTTATCAAAATCAGACAATTATGGCTTTTTGCTGTTAATTAATGGCTGCGATTAATGTCACACATTCCGGTTCTGAATATGATCCCATTTAATGTTTATGATCTGCGGAGCCTCAACCTAATTACTTAACCCTCTCCCATGTCAGTAGTAGTATTTTTTTATTTAAACGTAATTAAAATGTGTGTAAAAAAGGTTAACAGTGGCAATAAAATGAAACCCTCATTGCACACATCATTAAAAAACATATGTACATATATTATTCAAGTTAAATGGGTCAATCTAAGAGCATATGTATATTGTTTGTCTATATTGTTCACATTTATGTGTCATTTAGCGATAACGTTATAATCTATTGACTCTGGCTTATCAGGGCATAGCACCTGTGGTCCGGGATCTCCGATCTTTCTTCCGGCACAGTTAGAGTGCAAGAAGAGATAGAGAATTTGCACTTGAAACTATTGTGATTTGCAACACTGAGAGAAAAAAGGTCACCAAAAATAATATATTTCTTAGTTTTCGTTTGAATTTTAAGCAAAAAGAATATATAAAATTTTAAAATTTGTAAGCAGCTCCTATGTGATTATGAAAATATGTCCTTCAGATAAAAACTGAGAATGAAAACTGGAGAAGGTTTTTAAAATTAACTTGAATTGTGAAGATTTTTTTATATAAAATTATAAATAATTAGAAATTAAATAATAATCGAAATTATTTCCCTCTTTACCTTATCATTATCTCTTTTAAAAACACATATTTAATGACACTGAAACAATTTCTTAAAGTGCTCATCATTTAATCACAAACACTTTATAATATATATAGATTTAGGCAATAAAACATTATTGTTTTGAGGACTGATACTGCAGTACACAGAGCTTTCTTACCTTGCCGCTTGGGTGTATTAACCTGGTAGACGAGATCTTCAAAGTGAATGTCGATGCCATAGACATTCTTCAATAATTTGCTGCTATCCATTTTGTGTGTGTTCCTTTCTATTATTCAGCGTACGGTGTGTGTTTACAAACGTTCTCGCAGTGATCTGTCTTGGATGCTTATCGATGATATTTATTTGCTTTGCCCGCTTGCCGTGCACATTATTTACTCATATCAAAAAATTCGGTGAGCACTTTTAAATATTGTTTGCGAAACGCCTGTACACAATGGGGATGGGATTATAATGGATTACAAAGCATCTGGTAATGGCTGAACTGGATGGGGTCACAGGTGCAATTTGTGACTGCCGTAGTCAGGAATTATATCACCGCAAGTT